AGGTTTGGGCCCGAGGTCGTTTTCACTAAACCACATTTTACTAAAGGGAGTTGTGTCCATTCCGAAGGGAGGGGGCGGGGGGAAGGGTACCCATCGGAGGTGGAGAAGGTACCCATCGCGCTACGCCCCCCTGGCAGCGCCTCTGGCGCCGCCCAGCGCAGATCCAAGGAATCCGCGCGGAGCGCCAAAAGTTCGGCCCTTCCCTCGCTTTCCCCTTTTGGGGCCTCCTGGGAGGCTCTCGTCGCCACCGCTGGATTCGCATCGAAATCCTGGTCGGAACGCGCCCCGGGAAAGGTCTGGGGAGTAGCGGTATTGGTACCTCTTGGTTTCCCCTATGGATTGGGTTGTCTACGGATGCAGCCCCTGGCAGGTCACATCCAACATCGGCGCTGGTGTATCCGTGGCCGAAATTCTATTTAATCTGGCAGAATTCCGACTAATCTAGCTTACTCTCGCTGAGTCTAGCTAACTATTGTGTTTCATATGAGCCAATCAGATTGGCTCATATTAAACCCAATGTGGTTCAGATTATCTGGCTCAGTGGCCCTCAATCGTCGAAGACCGACTTTGGAGTACAAGGAGCATGTCGCACAGTGACGGCGACGTCGTGGTCGCTCCACGCAGTGCGCACGAAACATGTGAAAGTTCTTGTGCCGGCGTTTGCTCTCGCTTTCCGAAGTTGGGCTTAACGGCCCTTTATTATAATCGTTATCACGAACACCTCACATGAGTTGCCTCCTAACGTTTAGGGGTGCTCCAGTGGGTTCTCCAGGGTTCTCCCACTTCCTCATCCTTCTGGAGGGGGATGGGGGACAAACCTACGACGTCGGAGGTCTGGCTTCTCCTCGAATCTCAGCTAGAGCCGCCGTGTCTTGCGAGGGCAGTGTAGATTTGACGTCTAAGTGTGCTACACGTCGGTCGTTGTGAAAGTGAATGGCTTATGATAATAAAATTCCACATGCTTCGGGCGTTTTTGTATTTCAGGAGCTGGGCGGCTTCCTTGCTCCCTCCTCTTCAGGAGGCGGGCCGTCTTAACGCCTTCCTACTTCATGTGTGTACCCACTTCTTCCTGTCGGTTCAGTGGAGTGCCGGGTGGCAAGCGTACCCCTCCTCTCCAGACCTCGCGAAACAAACAAAGAGCCGTTCATGCTCAGATTCGGCATCCCCGCGGCTGCATTCAGGCCCGAAGTTGGGGGTTTCATGGGTGCCCCTTGGTCAGGGGTGCCCCCAAGACGGGCCAACACGTCAGCTTCTGCTGGGAGCTGCGCTTCTCCAAAGGGGGTGAGGAGGGGCACTTCACCCGCTAGTAGTAAGAAGCACTCCGTGTGAATTTTGGCTCCAGCGATCTGACTGTAGCCCGTAGCCCTGCCATTTTGTTCCGCGCCGTAAAAAAGACCATTCCTGTCGACGACGTTGGATGCGCACACGTTGGCGCAATGAACAGTCACTGCCAATGCCCGCCCCTACCTTATCTCGGAGTCATGGAGTCCGCCGGGCAGGTGTTGCGGTGCCCTCGGCGAGCGCGTGACAGAGGCGTTTCCATCTTAGTCGGCGCAGCAGTCCTTGTCCTTGCTATGGTCCTGCCTTGGCGGCTGAGATTGGATTCTGTTTTTCTGTGGGCGCCTGAGCGCCACAGCACATCGCGCTTGGTTTGTCCTGGACAGAGCATTGCCACTGGGTCGCAACTCTGGTCGAGACGGCTTGCCTTGGGTCTGCCCCGCCGGCTTGCAGTGGCAAGGTGGCTCGTACGGCGTGCGCAAGGTTCTGATGATTCGACGCTGCCGAAGATTCCAAAAACAACTGCGCAGCCCGCGCGACAGAGTGATTCGGATGAAAACGACAGTTGGTTACCAGGTGCTGTTGTGCTCCTCTTAGTTGCTGGTCTTGTTGCCAATGTCTACTCCGCGTTCACGACCAACGATGCGACCAGGGAGGCGAGACGTTCAGCACTTGGCCAAGGGCTTCGCAAGCAGGTGCTGGATCCAGCAGAGCGATCCTTTTATGACGCTCATCCAGCACCGTGAGCCCATCGTTCTTGGGTGACAGCCCACCGAGATGCGTACTGCTGCTTGGTTCACGCTTTCCTGACGGGCAACGAAAACAGGGTGGTGTGCTGGCTCAGTCAGGGGAGGAAGCGCATCGACTTCGAATCGGCGTTGGCATCGCCAACAGGTCGGCGATGGGTCCCCCGCAGCAGAACCGGACGCTCCCGTGGCGGAGGGCGGGCGAGCGGGCTCCCCTCGGCGAGGTTTGGGCCGATCTCCTTTTCTCGGTACGTGTTTCTCGGTACATCGGTCGTGATTGTCGTCAGGGCCTTCATGGGGTTCTCTTTTTCGAACAGGGCGCGAAGCGAGGACGGCCTCAAGGACATGTGAGCGACGGAAGGACACGGGGTCGACTGTGCCAACATTCGCGCGCAAGTTGCCCGCGGAAGGTCGCGCGGAAGCGCCCTCGTTTCCAATGTAGTTTGCCACACTGGTGTCCCGCGTAAACCATCGCGTAAGGTCGCGAGGCCATCTCGCGTAAGACCCGTTTCGTTTCGTCCCTCATGGGGTCGGAGCCGCGTCTTCATCTGCTTCTTGTCACTTCAAGCAGCACCCTGCCCTCAATTATCCAGCTTTCGCCACTGCACCATGAGCTGATGGCCAGCTTCCTGGAGTGACACCTTACATTCGCATTCGGGTTCTGGCGCGCAGCGAGTAAATTCTCTCCTGGATCTCCCCAGGAGTGGGCAGACATCCACTCCGTAGCTGCAGGGGCGTATTCGCTCGAAGATGTGTGCATTCAGACCGAGATACAGTCGCACCCAGACCGAGAGTCAGTCGCACCGACACGGGGCGTCATCCTCCAGACCCTCAGCTTGAGTCCGTGGATGTTCCAGCAAGTGCCCTTTCCCCCCGCCCGCTGCTGACTGGGAATGGAGCTCCTGAGGTATACCTTTAGCCTGGCGTTGGGGGTACACCCTGCACTCGAGATCCCAGGGCCTCTTCAGTCTGGGACTCCTGTATTTGGGGCTGAGGTCCTCGCACCCGTGCTGTCTCGTTCCTGCCGACGCCTCGGTCGATGGGTCTTCGTCTCGAGCTCGGCTCCGTCAAGGGTTTCCACATCCGCGTGCTTCTCGCGCTCTGGCACGCACGTGCAAGGCCTTCACGCCCTGAGCGTGCTGCCCCCCTCTTCCGCGCTCGCCTCCTCCCCCCGCCGCCTGCCGTGCCCACTTCGGCCACGTGCGCCCCACGGCTGCCTTCGAGCGCGGCCAGACCTCTCGCCGCTGCGACCAGACATGTTTCGGGTGGAGGTGATCCCCCCTTGTTGACCCCTCTCCCCGCTCCCGGGGGGGCGCCTTCACCGGCTGTCCAGAGAGGCTCTGCCCTCCCAGCCCCAGCCAGCAGGTCTTGAGAAGCATCGGAGCGACGTCGGCGAGCATCACGCCCACGGAACGGACATCGGAGTCCCGTGCACAGGTGTTCCCGGGCGTCCCTGGGCGTGTCACCTGGCCGTCCTGGAGTTGCCCATGGGATGTATTCGAATGCCCCTGTCTCCCGCCCTTCGTATACTGTCTGAAGGGACTCGCCAGCTGCCATCGGCCCCCTTCTAGCTGGTTAGCTGGCCGGCAGATTGCTTGGCTGGCAGGCTGGCTGGACGGCTGGCCAGTTTGATGGCGTGTTGGCTGGCGGGCTGGTGAATTTACTTTTTCGTCTTTCGCATATCAGGGGGGAGGGACTGGAGAAAGTCATGAGAAGCGAGAGAACCAGAGGAGTGGAAGGGACCAGTGTGGGAGAGTGGACCAGTCGGAGGAGCCAGAGGTCATGACGACGATACGTTTCAAGGCTTCTAGTTGTTCCTGCCTCACCGCGGGGGCTCCAGACACGAGGGCCGCCAGATTGGGACGTATCCTAAACCAACCGCATCCGGACATCACTACTTGTCTAGGAACCTGAGAGGGGGTTGGGCCAGGGGATGGAAGTGGACCAGTGAAGGGAAGAGCTCTGGTCATGGCTGCGTCTATCCACTTTCAAAGAGAGGCCTACGTGTAAGGCAGTGAGGAGATTCGCATAGGAGCTTCGCATAGGACGTCAGCATGTGGCATAATCCCGTGATCTTCGACAGCTCGTGCCGGCACCAGCCGCCTCGGCACCGGGCCGTGCTTCCTCAATGGCGCGGTTTGTTCCCCGCGGTGCAGACTTCGCCATTGTAGCCGAACAGGTAGGGCGGTAAGGCAGAAGTGCGTCTTGGCGGCTCACTCATTTCACGGGCAGCTCCAAGGGGTGTCAAACTCGAGGAGTCACCAGTTCCTTCTGGAAATCGAGGTTCCAGGATCGAAGGTCGAGGAGGTTTGGGGACGTCTGTGGGCGTTGGGGAAGGCTCTGGCGTGTTCTTCGGGGTCCACTTCCTTTGGGACGCTGCGTTTCCTCGAGGAAGTGGCGACCCCCGCCAGTGGTGATTCCCCTTGGCATTGTTTCTTCCGATCGGGCCACTCCTGGCAGCAAATTCACCTACACGATGCGCGCAGCGTGGAGGATTCATGCATCTTGTAGCACAGCCCGCAGCACAAGGTTCCAGGGTCCAAATGACATGGTTCCAACATCCCGTTTTCTGTCGCAGTCATTCGCAGATTCCAGACACGTCAGACTTTCGTGCAAAAGGGACTGCTGGAGTCGGCTCGGAAACAAATGCTCGCTCACTGATCATTTGGCTTAGTTTTTCGTTTGGTATCTCACTTGGTGCGCGAACCGCCCTGGCATTCTTGATTTCGCCGTCGGCACCCAGTCTTCCCATCGGAGCAATTGTGACCGCAGAAAGAGCCGATACCATCAGCAGACAGTCAGGAACTTTAGCTTCGCATGTCGCGCTGCCGCTTCTGGCCCAACGCGCCTCGGCGCGACTCGCTAACCACTTCCCAAAGCCCAAGCCTTTCGGAGCCTCCCGCCCCGCGGAGCGGAGCGACACGCTACCAGCCTGCAGCGCACTTGCCGCGACACGCAAAGTAACAGTTCTGGACCGTAGGAGCGCAAGCAGAGCCTACGCCATTCGGCATACTCATACACGCGCACGCGCTGGCATCGGCTCCTGTTGTTCACTCTGTCTTGTCTATGTTTATGTTTCTTCGTCGGCCAGGTGCGCCTTCGACGGCTACGACCGCGACGGCAGCGGCACGCTCTCGGCGTCGGACCGCGGGACCTGCAAAGTGTGAGCTCCTTTCCCTGCCTCTCCTCTCTCCGCTGAGGTGGGCTCGAAGCAGGGCGGGTGCGGATTGTGGTAGGCTTACCCGTCGGTCGTTGAAAACAGGGTTTTCTGAAATCCCAAGTTCCTGTCTACTTTAGGCGCCGTCCTACTCCAATCGTCGCCAGGTTTTCCGTGTTGCTTCCTCTTTTTGGCGGAAGCCCGATCTACGTTCCACGTTTGTTTTCTTCGCGTTTCTACCTTTCTCTTCTGGCCGGGCAATTTGTCGCAGTAGCGGCAGGTTCCTGCTCCACCATGGCCCTGGGGACGCCTTCAGAACCTCGGCCGCCGCCGAAGTTCGGGATCCGCCGAACTCTGGCTCGAGACTGCTCCAGGCCGCCGTCTCCGGGTCAGGAAGGCGCGCGGCGGAGGGTGCCCCCGCGCGCGCGCACTGGCCATGGAGGCGCCTCTGGCGTGCGCTCCGCGGAACAGCGCTGCTGCGGCGCGCGCGGGCGCCACGGCAGCGGCCTCGTGGCCGCGGCGACCCCCGCGCCGCCGCGCCCAGCGGCCGCCGCCGCGCCGAGAGGCTGCTCGCGGCCCGGACGGCGCCGAGCCCGCCGCCTCGCCGGCCTCGGGCGCCGCGGCGGCGGCCGCCTGCGCCGGCGCCCTGGGCTGCTGGCGAGGCTCTAGGCCTCATTGGATGCGGTCCGAGTGGATAGGGTCGGAGGATCGCGCCGCACCGCCGATGCATCGACGGTGCGGCCCGATGTGGAGCCCGTGCCTCCCCACGCCGACGTCGCCGATGCGTCGCCGATGCATCGCCGATACGTCGGCCATGCACTGGCGGTGCGGCGCGATCCTTCGACCCCATCTACTCGGACCCCATCTGTAGGAGGCCTCTGGAGGCACGACGGCGCGAGCGGGGCGCTCGCTGGCGCGAGCTGGGCTCTTGCCAGCGCGGCGCGTCCCGCCCGCCGGCGGCCCAGCGCGCGCGAGGCGCGGCGTGGTGGCCGCGGCCTCGGGCGGCGAGCGCGGCGGGGGCCCGGCGGCGCGGCAGGGCGCCCCGCGAGGCGGCTGGCCGCGCGGGGCTCGGCGGGGCAGGGTGGCCACGGCGGCGGTCTGGGGGGAGGTGTGGTCGATCTTCGGGGACTCGCAGCAGGCGGTGCAGGAGAGGCAGACTGCAACGCTGACGCTGGAGCGGATCGTCCTGCCGACCCTGCTGGCGGCCACGGGGGCGACGCTGCTCTACGCACCGTTCTGCCGCATGCTGCAGAGCTCCCTGGACTTGGGGAACACGGGGTCGGGGCCCGTGTTGACCCTGTTGGGTATGGACCAGTCGCAGTTCATGCAGAACTTCTTGACAGTTAACGGCCTGTTGTTCACGATCCTGTGTGGCAACACGTACACCGCTCTTTATAGCCAGAACGAGCAGATTTACAACGCGCTCTTCATAGAGGTGTCCGAGGCAAAGTCTCTGCTGGAGCAGGTGTGCCTCGTGTGCCAGGGCAGGCCGTTCTACCCGCGGGTTCTCAGCAGCATCGAGGAGTACGTGGACAACGATCTCCGCCGCCTCGACGCTGAGCCCTCCGAGCTGCTGGCCAGGCTTCCCTGCCAGGATCCTCTGGAGTACATCCTATACTAAGGATGCAACTCCTTGGAGATGAAATTCAGCATCGGCGCTGGCACATCCGTGGTCGCAAGCTGGCCTAATCAAGCTTAAAAGTCCGCCTGTACATTCAACTCGCGCAGTGCTGGGCTGAATTTGGCCTAATCCGCCTCAGCGGCCTCGCAATCGGGCCTAACAGCCTTTAGTCGTTCTTGCGAAGACCTTCCAGAACTTGCATCCTAACCATACGCCACTTCCGTCGGCGTGCCCTCCATTATCTACGACACCGTCCGCGACCTTCGGCGGGCCCGGGCGGTGCGGCTGGGGGCTATGCAGCGCAAGCTGCCAGCGGTGCACTTCGTGCTATTGTACGCGCTCGGCTTGCTGGAGTTGCTCGCCTTCCCCTTCCTCGGAGCAGGCAACGTGTCCATGGCCCCAGCCACCAACACCACAGAGGGCGAGCCGAGCATCCTGTTCGTCCAGGGGATCTTCTTCGGGGCCATGAGCGGTGCCATCGTCATGACGGTGCAGATCATCTACGAGCTCTGGAGGCCGTACAGCGGAGCGTACACGGTCAATTCGGTGATGGAGACGATGGTGCGAGGCCTCGACGAGGAGTTGCGCGCTCGGCGGAGCGTCACCGTGCCGCTGGCCGATGTGGGCCCACGCTCGCCGCCGAGTCCACACCATGGGGCGAACGCAAGCGCTGGGACATCACATGCGACCAGTGCCACCGCAGCCCAGGTCCCGTAGGCCGTGCCGCCTATGTATAATAATAATAATCATAATAATACTAATACTAATAACAATGACAATAATACTAAGAATAACAATAACAATAATACTAATAATAATAGCAATAATACTATTCATAATAATAATGATAGTTATAGTAGTAATAATAATATTAGCAATAATAATGATCATAATAATAATACTAATAGCAATACTACTAATGATACTGATAATGATAATGATAATGCTAATGATAATAATAATGATAATACTACTAATAACAATGATAATAATAAATAAATAACATAGTAAACATGTTTCACGCCTATATCTACGTAGCCCCCCGCAGATGCGGATAAGACCGAGGGGGCGGCGAGGACGTCGGCAGTCTGCGAGGCTCTGAAGAAGCCCGCCGCAGGCGCCGAATTGTCACACATAATACAGTGGGCCCGCCGCAGGCGCCGGTTTTTTCGTTACAGCAGTGTTGGTGGGTCGCAGGGTGGGTCTCGGGGTGGTCGCGGGCCGGGTCGCGGGTGGATCGCGGGTGTGTCGCGGGTGGGTCGCTGGGCGGGACGCGGGGTGGGTCGCGGGGTGGGTCGCGGGGTGGGCCGCGAGTGGGCGTGGGGTGGGTCGCGGGTGGGTCGCGGGGTGGGTCGTGAGATGGGTCGCGGGGTGGGTCGCGGGTGGGTCGCAGGACGGGTCGCGGGGTGGGTCGCGGGGTGGGTCGCGGGGTGGGTCGCGAGTGGGCGTGGGTCGCGGGTGGGTCGCGGGGTTGGTCGTGGGATGGGTCGCGGGGTGGGTCGCGGATGGGTCGTGGGGTGGGTCGCGGGGTGGGTCGCGGGCGCGTCGCGGGGTGGGTCGCGGGGCGGGGCGCGGGTGGGTCACGGGGTGGGTCGCGGGGGGGACGACGCCAAACAACAACAAGAACAACAAGACAAACAAACGAACACATGCACAACAACAACAACAACAACAACAACAACCACAACAACAACAACAGCAACAACAACAGCAACAACAACACCAACAACACCAACAACAACAACAACAACACCGACAACAACAACAACAACAACAACCATCAGTTTAAGACTTTTCTCTCCTATCTGTTCACGTGCCAATCAATACGTATATCCCAACCCTCGGTGCCCGCCCTCGTCGTCTTCGATCGTACCCCCTTGGGGGTGTATCTTCCTTACCTGCCACGTGTATTTCGTGCAGCTCCTAGCACAGGGGAAGAGAGGACGGGTGGAAGGGGGAGGGAAAATAATGGAGCACGAGAGAAATTAGCAGGACGGGTGCAAGGAGCAGAAAACAAGTGGTCGAACCAGACGGGCAGATCGGGTGGGCAGACCCATAGCGGGCAGGTCGGGAAGGCGGGCCCAGGCGTCGAGGTCGAGCAGGCGGGTTGCTGAAGCGTGGGTCCTTCATGAATCGCGAGGAAGTCTCGAGCGATAACGCGATTTCCAAGTAAATCGTAAGAAAGGCCAGCGTGGGCCACGAAGGGTAGAACATCCGAGGCCACAGATGGCAGTGACGGGGCCTCTGAGGGCAGCACCTGGGCCACGACGGGCAGCGAGGGGGCCACAAAGGGCGACAACGAGGCCACGAAGATCATGCACATGTGGCCACGACGGGCTCGAGCGTGCGGGGGCCACGAAGGGCATTCGCATACGGGGCCACAAAGGGCAGCAAAAGGACCATTGAGGGCAGCAAAAGGGCGACAGCGGGGCCATTGAGGGCAGCAAAAGGGCCACGAAGGGCAGCGAGGGGGCCAAGAAGGGCGACAGCGAGGCTACGAAGGGCATGCGTATGGGGCCATGGCGGGCGTGTGCGAGTGGGGGCCACGATGGGCATACAATGCGGGGCCATAAAAAAAACAGCGACGGGACCACTGAAGGCAGCAACGGGGCCACGAAGGGCAGCGAGCGAAGGCGACCGCGGAACCAGCATGGGCAGCGAGGGGCATCGAAAGCGGGCGAATGGCAGCGAGCGGCGATTGCAGTCATTAACGCGTTGGTCGGGCGGGCAGGCCCCGACGGGCGGTTCGAGCGGGCGGGTCGTTGAAGCGTGAGTCCTGCTTGAACCGCCAGGCAATCTGTAGCGGGAGCGCGATTCCTGAGTGTCGAGGATCGGTATCTGAATAAATTGTGAGGAACGATCAAGCGAAGCGGTTCGGCGGTAAGTTGCGAGGAAGTCCCAGGCGAGAGCGCGATTCTGCAATCAATTACCAGGAAGTATCAGGCGGGGAGCCGCGATTCGGTGGTAAATTGCAGGGAAGTCCCAAGCGAGAGCGCAATTCTTCAACACACTGTGAGGAAGTATCAGGCGGGAGCCGTTGTTGTTGTTGTTGTTGTTGTTGTTGTTGTTGTTGTTGTTGTTGTTGTTGTTGTAATCTGGGTGCCAACAACACAGTTTGACCTTCAAGACTTTCCCGGCTAAAGAACAGGGTGCGAGCCCTGGGAAAGGGGCATTTTAATCGAAACGTGCAGTGTGCATAGGGCCGGGGGGACCACCAATACATTTATTCTTCTGAAATGAAACAATAATCCGTTTGCGGAATCCCACTTCAGCCACGCACCCGGGGACAGTGAATGACCGTTCGCCCCTGAGACATTACATATAGATGTGTGTGTATATATATATATATATATATATATATATATATATAACTACGCGTAGCACC